ACAGACATACAGAGTGAGAGAGAGAGAGAGAGAGAGAGAGAGAGAGAGAGAGAGAGAGAGAGAGAGAGAGAGAGAGAGAGAGAGAGAGAGAACGAGAAAGGGGGGGATTGTTGAGATAGAGGCAACTCTTATCTACTTTATATGGTCGCTTTTAAGGACAAGCGGGCTAACCCAGATTTCAGGGGTTTCCAAAAATCTTGACCTACACCAAAAGTGGGCATTTACCAACCTGTAGAAGTTTCGTTTCATTGGTGTGTATATTGTTTGGTTATAGAGAAAACTCTCCTTGCCTTTTAAAGAAACTGTACAAGGGTCCAAAAACTTTTACCTTCGATTTTCTCAAAACAGCATTTTTCGGGATAGCCGCTCTTGTGCTTAAAAGCAACCATTTATAAAAGTCGTTTCTCACCTTATCTCCCCCTCCCACTCCTCCACCCTCCCACACCCCCCTCCCACTTCTCCACCCTCCCATTCCTCCACCCTCCCCTTCACGCAGATGTATCCCAAAGACGTGGAGAGATGGGAGGTCCCCACAGAAGTGCTGGACATAGAGAACCGGAGCCAGGCCGGAGTGACCAACAGCACTGCCCACTACAACGTCACTTTCTCCCACGAGCCCACCTTCTCTGTGAGGGTCAGTCGGAAGTCTACGGGGGCCACCATGTAGGTCATGCAGGTGGTCTGTCGTCTGTCTGTCTGTCTGTCTGTCTGTCTGTCTGTCTGTCTGTCTGTCTGTCTGTCTGTCTGTCTGTCTGTCTGTCTGTGTGTATGTATGTCTGTATGTCTATCTATCTATCTATGTATCTATCTATCTATGTAGCTATCTATCTGTCTGTCTGCCTGCCTGCCTGTCTGTCTGACTGTCTATCTGTCTATTTGTCTGTCTGACTGTCTATCTGTCTGTCTGTCTGTCCGTCCGTCTATATGTCCTATTTACAACGTGCATAATATGTGAGGCAGCTTGGTGAAATCAGGCGCTCGTCAAAATAACGAAATCTGAGATACGCGCATTTTTCCGCCAGTTTGGAAATATATATTGAATTTCTATTTTTTGACATAATTTTAAACACTTTTATGTCCGTATAAAAGTAAATTTCCATGTTAATTATACTGCACAACATTGATTAAAAGCCCAAAATACATCAATTTTCAGTTTTCAAAGTTTCTTTAGCTATTGGAATTACCAAAGTTTGGCGGCTATTTCCTCGCTAATGTCACCACTGAAACCAGGTGACCGCACATCCTTCAATCGCAAATGTCTTGAATTCTAGTCAAGATAAATATATATTTATTCTTATTGGAAACAAGGCAAATAAATAAACTTTCATATGATACCAATAACTCAAGATGTCCGAAAAATTGACGAGTGACTGATTCCGCCGCGTCGTGACAGATATAGTCAAATGTTCATCTTCAGAGCAAAGAGTCATGTCACAATTGAATTAAAATGTTGAACAACCAAACACCCCAACACTAAACCCTCCCCCACATACACACCCCCCTCCTCCATCCCCCGCTCCCCCCCCCTCCCGTCCCTTGTGTTATATTTAATTTCATCGATCTCTGTCCCTCCGCCAGTTTTGACACTTCCGTGCCAGGTCTAGTGATGTCCGAGCAATTCCTTCAGGTGACCTCCCACCTGGCCACTGACCGGATGTATGGCCTGGGCGAGCATCGCCACATGACTCTACAGCACGACATGGACTGGAAGCTGTGGTCGATGTTTACCCACGACGCGCCGCTCAACGTGAGTACAATTAATTGTGAGATTGGGGGTTGGG